TGACATTCCATACAATGTCTCTATTTTATTTACGCGCGTAAGATTTACATCTGTACGCACGGAAAAATTACGTGACAGTGGAAATCCACCTTTAGGTTATATGCTCACACTATAACGGATAGCTTTTAGTGGCGTCTCGAAAAGCTATAGTTTACAGTCAAGGATAGCTTCGTCATATCCAGCGAAATGTTCCAAGCTGCTCAATATTTTTGCAAGCGCAGTTTCTAACTACACGCACTGTGTTGTGGGCAAAGATAAACCTGATTATGTTGCTATAAAGACACCTGAAAATTCCTATGAAATATATGTCTTATCTGTCTTGTTTTTATGGTTACCTTTGGTAAGAAATGTTTCCAATTTCCACTTTATAGACTTGGGCTTTGAACCTTTAGTTTGTACTTTGTGTTGCAATTTCAGGTCCATACAAAGAAGACCTGGAGAGAACCCGCAGAGACCTCAAACGCTTGGTTGATGAGTTCTATCGCTCGATTAGTCAGGTATGGAGGAAGATGGAAAAGAAACATAAGCAAAGTCTCTTGAAGCAGGTACGCGAAAAGAGAGAACAAAGAAAGAAACGGAGTAACCACTGCTAATAAATGAATCCCGAGGACAACCATGAGAACCTTGGTCAGGGCGTCTAAACTTGGCCTCACCAGCTTCGAGTCTGCAAATCATCAAATTGGAATCGAAGACTAACCAAGACCCAGGAACATCTTGGAGCAAGAGAGGATAAAGGGGCAGAGAAGGCATCCCCATACACACCCTATTCCATAGGTAATTCGTCTCGAGTTATTTTTAGAATCGGTATAAAGTTACCTCGCGCGCTGCGTGGTTGTTTCGTGGAGGTTTCGCATGACTAAGCGCCGTGCAAAACATGTCGGGCGAAAGGCAATGAAAGCGTAAAGAGATCGAGAGCATTCCTGAATATTGAAGCGAAATTAATCGGCGCTTACCTGGGAAAAAGGAATCGCTGGACTCTTTGACAACCCGTGAAATCCGTTTAACTCGAAGTTGTCGTAACCTCCGTGCTTCAATAAAATGAGAAATTTCGCCGGTCTATTGAAACCGGTCGTTTGTACAATTAAGCAAGTAGGACGCCAATTGTTATTGTTGAATAATAAAAGACTAATAAAAGAATAAATATCAAACCAGAAATTGCTCTCTTCAAACTGTAAATTATAAATGATCCTGGGAGAATATTCAGTGTGTTAAGGATTTCCCTGCTGTACTGTTAGCTCTTATACAAGAGAGGAAGGGCGATTCTTTTTTAATTTCCGTTTCGCTGACACAGCTTTAGCAGAAATCTCTCTGTAGTCGTTTTCGTCGACAAAACCAATAGCAATATCGCTCTCCTCGTCTTCCGCCATTTTGTTCCAATTGGTGAAGGACGCGTGTCTCTGAGCGTGGTCATCCACGCGGAACACATTCGCGCTATGTGATTGGCTGTTGTCTAATCCTCCTTGAGATCTGTGGTGTTAAAAATAACTCGAGACGAATTACCTTTGGAATAGGGTGTGTATGGGGGATGCTTTCTCTGTCCCCTTTATCCTCTCTTGCTTGGAGCTATTACTAGGAGCAAGGGCTCAAACTCAATATTATTTAAATCATTGACTGTGCGTTTTCCTTTTACACGATTACTCTTCTTGATTTCATTCTGATTAGTGTAAGATTGTATTTCCTTAGTTATAATATTATGATTATTTAATAAGTGCAAAATAATTATCACATAATCGATTTTAAGCGTTCATAGGTACATAAGTATTGTAGAGAAATGCTATCTTAGCTGTCAGGTGACCAGCATGGTCATTGATCTGATACAGTCACAAAATAGTTCATCCGTTCCCTCTGTGAAATAATTTCTTTTTTTTTTTTTTTTCGTAAAATGGAACCAGAAAGTACACATTTTTCTACGCAAAAAAAACTTTTGTTTGATTGATCAAGTTTACATGTATATACGTAGTTCCCTTCGGTCATTTCCTGGTTGTAACTAACTGAATTAAATTTAACACAGCGAATCTCTTCATATCCACTTAAGCGCATAAGATTGCGGCCTGAGATAAATATAACGCACAACTCGAACAACTTGCACTTTTAACCATCTCTGTTGGAAGCGTGACTTACCACCCCTCTCAGAAATTCTAGTAACATTTGGTACTGACACTATTAGAAATTTGTAGCTAGAATCAAGAAATTGCCATATGAGGACATGCACACACACCCAATGCCTCTCACGACAATATCACCCTAAAAACCCCTGTATCCAAAATTGCTGGCTACACCCCTGATGCGCCAGTACTCTTACGGCTCACTCGAACACCACTCATGTGAAAGTAATACCGTGATAAAATAGGGATAAAAAAGCCTTAAGGGATTATTTTTTCTGCATTCCGACGTAAAACATTTTAATAGAAACATCAAATTTTACACGACAACGAGTTTTGTGGAATTCTTTGCTTTACCTTTGACGATCTGTTATATTTTATTTCAATCGTTTTCATCACGTCTTTGTTGTTCCCCCCTCCATACGAAGTTGACCGATTTTGAATATACTGATTCCAAACAAAGGTTGATGATTATAAGGATGAGAGAGGGGCCATTGTCACATCCATAATACTCAGTCAACTTGAAATATTTTAAGTGTAAATTAGAAATAAACAATTTAAAAATTGCCTCCTTGTTCTTAAGCATTATGCACAATAAAGAGCACACACAAAAATTGAGCTCCGTCAAATGTTAACAATCTTTTATTCAATCATTTTAGATGCTGTGGTTCGTTTTTATAACAATCCCATTGCTCTTTGCTGGTTGATTTCGACTCCGCTAACCTTTAAGCTTCAGTTGATTGAGTTGAGGTAGTTGCGCTTGCTATGAACCAAAACACAGAAACATATTTATTTATATAGAGAAAGAATTTCAAGCTGTTCGTTATTGCGCGATCTTATCATTTCACAGATTAGTATCAATAACCATTTTTGCAACTATTAATGTTATTTATAGTCAAGGAATACATTACATTGAGAACCACAATGGGGGCGGGGGGGGGGAGCCCTATGAGTCCTCAACTACATCAACTAGTGCTTACTGTATTTTAGCTTTATTTAGTTAGAATGTTCAAATGTTCTTATCCTGGTTTATTTGCCCATTAACCTACGGTTTCTCCCTTTTTTGTTATTCATTTGTCTAGGTTGACCAGTCGGTTCAAAGAGGAATGAGTTTGTGACTAGCCCCCGGATAGGTTCCTAGTACAACACGAGTAACCTGACGGTAAACTCACTAAGTGAATGCCAATTCCCTTGATATCATCAGAAATCTCTGTTTCCTATTGGTTGTGTTTTCTTTTACTAGGACAATTTTGAGTTAAAAAAGATAAAGCAGGGAAATTAATTCCGGAAATAAAGTGAAAACACTTCCTCTTGTTTTAACTTAAGTTAAAAAGGCAAGCTGTTTTCACAATCAAAAACAAGGGATTTTCTCGCCTTTACGACTGGAAATTCAAGCAGGGTTACACTACCTCGCGAGATGGTATAAACTTGTCCTGATTAATGCCGTAGCCAGACAATTGGGTCGCACGTAGTGACAACCCCGTCCCCAAGGCTTTTCCCATTTTTTTAAGGAAAAGCCCTGGGGACGAGGTTGGCGTAGTAACAGACGCCTGCAAAATAATCTGGGAATAATATTTGCCAGACAATCGCCTTGTTTTGAGAGCGCCGGTATGTAGAACCATTTACCGCATTACAACCCATCACAAGTAGTTTCTCTACCATTTACGCCTCGTCCGTCTCGCTTTAAAAACAGCAAGACATAAGCCTCATTCGCTGAGTGAAACTCCTTCTCCTTCGCAAAAATACGGCGAGAACAATCACAAGAGAAGTCATTACAAGCGGTTCGTCCCCAGCCATTTTTGAATCCTCAGATTTAGCGGCTTAGATTGTGGATAAATTAATTTTACCGCGAAAACGGTTGACTGTCACGTTCAACTACTAGAAGTTGGTTTGTAAACAAAACCCTAGAAAGAATGTTCAGCAAATAATCGGCCTAGCTAAGGAAAACACAACCTCCTTTACGAGGCGGAAATTTTCAAATAATTATATTCATTCAGGTCACAGCCGTCTGATATCAAAATCATGTGGAACCAGGGACACAGACGTCCGGTTAACTGCAAATTTTCTGGATGTTGATTTGGTTTTTACAATGTTCTTGAACATTTAAAACGTCTTTTCCGGGGTATTAAAGAAAAAACACACACTCACGCACGCACAAAGCACAGGGAAAAACCCAAATAACTCCATTAATGACGTCATTTCCATGCCTATACACTCACAGAAAATAGCCCTCAACCAATAAGCGCTCGAATTGCTCAGTTGTAATGAAATATGAAAATGCCAAATTGCTCGCTTAGAATTAATTTGATGTTATTTTTAACAGTTGTAGTGTGCTTTTGCAACTTACCTGAACAAATTTTGCAAAAAAAGGGCTTTACTTTGAACGAATTGACACACTAGGAAATTACGCCGACTTACCAGAGTAAGAGTTGTCCAACGGCCAGGTAGGAATACTACGGTCGTTGAACTGAGCAGTAAATGTTTGGCCCCCCTTTGTGACTTCTATCTGATGATATATAAACGAAACAAATCTTTTTAATACCAATCATTTGTAGCGGAGCTCCACGCGCGCACTTCGCCGAGCCCCATTGCTACCCCCACCCAAACGTACCGACTCTGTGGGAGCGGGGCGGAAGTTGGAAAACAGCCCGACTGGGAGGTGGATAACGCTCTTTTTTGGTGGGAAATCGCACTTCTAGACCATGGACTGCGCGCGTTTTTCTTGACGGGAAATAGCATGACTCTCGTCGCTTTGAAAAACAGGTTTCTTTGTTTTCCAGCTTTTTCATAACAAAGGGATTTACAGTGCTAAGTTTGAAGCTTAATTACAAAATCGTTGCTAGTTATATCAACAAACGCGAGCAGAGTAAATATAACGTGCAGGAGACGGAACTTAAGTGATGAGCAACGGAAAGAGAACGGCAGAGAGTATTTTTGGTGGTAAATCTCATGGCCACCGGGACTTAAAAAGAGAAGAAAAAAAAAACAACAACACCAAAGCCCAGTCTTTCTTAAGACTAAATTAAGATTTCTACATAAACGTGGAAAAGCGAGATAAGAATTAAAAAAACATGGAAACCAATTTTCAATTTTTCTTCCAATTTGTTGAAAGAAAAACATGAAAATTTTATAGCGGCGGTCAGAAAAAGAGAAATGGTAGCGGCCACCAAGGTCAAAATGGGCGGCAGTGAAGAACAAGTGAACAGGAACAAACACAGCATTTCCTCCATAAAACGTGTAACTGGGAAGTATCACGTCTTAGTAACGCAAAAAAAAGTGTGCTGCAGGAGCAAAGTTTTTTTTTTGCTAATTACACCATTTTTGTTGTTGTTGTTTTTTTAACGATCTCGTTGTCTTCACCGTTTCTTTAGCATTAAACGATTTTATATTTTGTTCGAGAGTAAACTGTTAATATTATAGAGAGCTATATATACCTTTTGTTTGTTCTTTTTTTCGCCCAAAGAAACAAAAGATATATATATTTTTGAAAT